AAAGAATTTCACCAAATTTTGAACGTAATCTCCTCGATCTGGACGAGAAAGAAGAGTCTTTTCCAAGCCCTGTTACGTTGGACGGCTTGTTATAGTGAAAAAGTATTTGCCCCCGTTCAGGAGTTGATGATAACGTATCCATCTGTATGAGGTGAGACCCCAAATAAGTAATGGAAAAGTTCAAGGCTGACAGTTGCTCCTTGTTCCTGTCAAAGGACGACGAAAGCCGCCAGAACCCTATAGGCGTTCGACATGAAATGGGCACGAGCGATGCGGTACAAATTGAAAGCCTCCACACAAAAAAATGGGGGGGGGGGGGGTCGGAGGACGACCACCACTAAGTCACAATGAACCATTATGGAGCGAGTTGTGCCTCATCAGATGCTAGATGTAACACGTGAACCATTCAATGTCCGACCAATTATAGAAAGGGATGTGCTTCCTCAAATGCTCGTACAAAGCCTAGTCTTGGAACCAAATGACATCGAAGTTCAGGATAGGGGTGCAATATGTATCCGGATGACCCCTCTTGAAAACCTAGCGTTCGAGCTCAGTCTTATACCCATCCGGATCACGCTCATCACCATTACTAGAGAGTATTGTTTCCTCGCGAGAGCTGGATGTCCCCTCCTCCTCTTCAGCATCGACCTCCTCCACTTTGGCATTACCCAAGGTAGAAGTCCCGAGGTAGAAGTCCCGAAAGCTAAAACAACAGGGTGCAAGATGAATATGAAAACAAGAGGGAAAGAGATAAAGGCACAAGAAATACCTTAAAAGGAGATGTTAGTCAGAGACGTAATGCACTGGAAATCATCTCAAAAGAGTGAAAACATGATGTATAGAGAGGTTGTGGAGGAATTCAGAAGATGCAAAGGATAAAAAGGAACAAAGTGGTATTTATACCAAAGACGAGCCTCAGGAACCAGTCATAGCACAACATGTACCAAGGGAGTGGGGAGGGACGCTCGATGATCAAAACTGAAATGATGCCATCATGACTACTTACCTCAATCCCCGACCCAATACTATTGGCCCATACCTCGCATTACCTTCCAAATATTCAAGGTAGAACACCAAGCGCTCCCAATTTGACTTTATGACACAAGAGGAGAGGCATAACCATAGAGACCAAAGTGCATAATCATGGGATCCAGTGAATGCCGCCAATGTGGCCAAGTGGCATCAATAGAAGCACGAACCTAATGGCAGCCATGCCATGCCCCTTGCACACGCTTTGACTTGAACGAAGGGTGAACAGTCATCCCACTCGCGCAGATGCAAATAGGAGATAGGTTAGCATGTAATGCCAAAGCATGGGCAGGAATGGACAATCACATGAAAGGAAATGGGCGACAGAGCAACTCGTCCAATGAGAATGTGACACGTCACCGAGCCAATACCCCAGACTTAGTACAAATAGGATCCTAAAAATGAGTCGCAGACACTTGATTAAACTCCTATAACTCTAAGTGGGGTAGCTAAAAATGATTAACTCATTTTTAGGATCCTATAACTTTATACTAAAAATAGCATTAGAGTTGCAGACACTTGATTAACTCATTTTTAGGATCCTTAGAGTTTAAATCCTCATAACTCTAAGTGGGGTAGCTAAAATAATATTAAATAGCATTTACATCTCTCTCGTATAAAGCAGAAATTGTAGCGGCTAGAAGAGCTAAATACATGGGCATTCTTAGCTCATCTTTAAGTGTATTGTAAGAATTCTATGTCAATAAGAACCACATATTACTGAACACTCAAATCGACCAACCACTAAAGTATTGTGTTGAATCTTTTAGCTAAGGGAATAAACCTCAGCAATAATCATACATATACTCTTTTAGTGTGAGTGATGAATGAATTGGTCGTAATCCAATGTAGAAGATATTTTTAGAACGGTGCATTTAATGTCTCCTTCTATTTTAGGAAAAGGCAAACATGCGTGATAATCAAATCGAAGGCATAATATCTCCTACCGATCGGTTCGTATACCATGCAACCGTCCCACGGTCCGCATGTTATACCATCCCAAATTGCAGTGAGCTTTGTTATTTTTTATTTCTCCTTTTCTTAAAAATGTTAATATTTTTTTTATTTTTGATCCGATTTTTATAGAATTTATATCGTTTTTTTTTATTTTTCATGATCTTTCAAATGAGACCAATATTGCCTATGTAATTTTAACATATTAACATTTGCGTGTAAAAATATGTAACTTTACATGTTAAAATATGTAACTCACGTTCAGTCAGACCAAATACAAATCGTGTGTATAAATATGTAACTCTACGTGTAAAAATATGTAACTTTACGTAAAAAAATATGTAACTCGCGTTCAGCTAGGTCAAATGCAACTCGTGTGTATACATATGTAACTCACGTGTATAAATATGTAACTTTACGTGTAAAAATATGTAACTTGACGTGTAAATATATGTAACTCGCGTTCAGACATGTCAAATGCAACTCGTGTGTGTATATATATAACTCGCGTGTAGAAATATGTAACTTTACGTGTAAAAATATGTAACTTCACATATAAAAATATGTAACTCACATGTATAAATACCTAATACAATAATTTTTTCATATACACAATTTTAAGATAAATTGTGATTTACACTTATTATTTTGTATTAAATTTAGATCAGTTTTCCTTATAATCCAATAATCATTTATACAATAGTTCCATAATTTGTTAAAATTACATAAACAATATTGGTCTAATTTGATAGATAATGAAAAATAAAAAAATTAATATAAAATTATAAAATCGAATATGAAATAAAAAAGTTATTACAATATGCGCCTATGGATAGATCTCATGTCCATTAAATGACATAGCATTTAATGAGCATTAAATGCATCGAATTTATTTTATTGATGTAATACGCGCAATCAAATTATCATGACTCAATCTGATCCATTTTCTACCCGTGTCTTTAGGTGAAAACCCGCCTCTTTACCTCTTCCTTTTGAATAGAGAATGATGAGAGCCGCACCATCACAATAATAAAATTCAGAGCCCGTTTGATAGCACGAAAATCGGCTGATTTTGCTGATTCTGCTGAAATTTATGAAGTTCTGGCTGAAGTGTCTGCATTGGCTGATTCTGCTGATTTAAAAAAAATACTTTTAAAATATATTTTATTAATAAAATAAAGAAGAAATTATATGTAAAAATAGCTAAAATGGTCATCTACAATAACTTCAGCCAATACAGCCAGAAAAGTAACTCCAACCTTACTTTTTCTGCTTATTACACAATTCAGCGCACGAAATGAAAAATTACGTGTTTGGTGAAAAATTTGCCTGATAAGCTGATAAACAGTGTTACCAAACGGCCTCTCAGTCTAATATACGAAAACTCCAAAATTGAAAGGACATAAAATGGAAAAGCGTGGGAGGATCAACTTACAAGTTACAACCCTCTATTTTTTTTTACCATACTAGGGAAGAGAGTAAAATGAAAGCTAATATGAAAAGATATTCTTTGTGTGCCCTTTGTCTTTTTTGTGCGACGAAAGTTTAAGAAAACTTTTGACTTTGGGTGACTGAAAACCAAGGCGTCAACAATGAACATAAATTAATATTGCAGTATTCCATAGTCTTGTTAAAAGTTCGGTAATAAATTGAAAACAACTATTCCCAATTTGACACACTTTTACTCCCTCATCCTCCTAACAATGAGACAATATAAAGCGAGACACAAATTAATAAAAAGTAGTTTATGTGATTGATATTGAATTGATAAAGTAAGAATAAAGTAAGAATGATTTAGAGACACACAAACTTTATCAAATTTGGTATGAAACAATCTTATTGGAACGAATCGATAAGATAAAATGAGACAATTATAACGGGACAAAGGTAGTAACGATTACTCTCTCTAAATGAATTTGGAGGCAATTCAATTTTTACCCCCATTGTACGGCAAATTATATGGTGCAACCGGCGCACCATGAGGATGGTGCGCCCGGTTGCAAAACGACGGGGCATCATTTGTTTTTTTTTCTTTTGATGTTAAAAATGATAATAACTTTTTTATTTTTGATCCGATTTTTATAAAATTTATATCAACATTTTTTATTTTTAATGATCTTTCAAATGAGACCAATATTGTGTATGTAATTTTAAGAAATTATCGAACTATTATATTAATGAGTATTGGATTATAAGAAAAATCGAATCTGTTTGGGAGATGATAGGTTTGTGAAATAGAAGATCGAATTTGTTTGGGAGTGGATCAGTGACCTCAGTTACATATTTTTATGAGTGAGTTACATCTTTTATAAGCAAATTACATCTTTTTATAAGCGAGTTACATCTTTTTACAAGCAAGTTACATCTTTTTATAAGCGAGTTACATATATATATACATACGAGTTGCATTTGACATGTCTGAACGCGACTTACATATATTTACACGTAAAGTTACATATTTTTACACGTAAAGTTACATATTTATACACGCGAGTTACATATTTATACACACGAGTTGCATGTGACCTGTCTGAATGCGAGTTACATATTTTTTTACGTAAAGTTACATATTGTTACACGTAGAGATACATATTTATAAACACGAGTTGCATTTGACTTGACTGAACGTGAGTTACATATTTTAACACTTACAGTTACATATTTCACACACAAATGTTAATATGTTAAAATTACATAGGCAATATTGGTCTCATTTGAAAGATCATGAAAAATAAAAAATGTTGATATAAATTTTATAAAAATCGGATCAAAAATAAAAAAGTTATTACCATTTTATAAAAGCAAAAAGAAAAAAAAAATATAAATCCGTTCCGATATACGGTTCTCACCGTATACCGGTTGCACGGTATACGCACTCCCATTGTACAATCTACTAATTACTCCGTATCTCACAGTATAAAGATACACATGGTTCTAAGATTTTACAAAAATTTTAAGGATAAATACGGGCGGGTCCTCAAGTTAAAAATACACACTTTTAAATAAAAGAAACATTTCTTTGTGAGAGAAAGTAGAAAGAGATTCTGCTTGCAACAGAGATGTACTATTTTGGTTGCTCTCTCCATTTTCATTCCCACACTTCTTTGGCTTTTTTCTAGCCCCACCACCACTATGCCTCCCCTTAGTACCACCTCCATAGTTCACATTTGCTTTTCTCGTTAATGGGTTGCTTCATGTGGGGTTTTAAGCATTTTTATAGCCTTTTTGTTATCTTCACTCACTGGCATCTTGAGTAGCTTAGTGAGTACGAAAAAGAAACGTTCTTTGAGTGATTTCTGGGGTTTGAGATTTTTCTAGAACTTGGTATTTGCTGGTAGAGATTTGGGGGTTCCATTTTTTTTCATTTTAGCTGAGTAACGGAACAGGCGGATAGCAAAGGTAATGGCTGGAGGAGGAGGAGCGGCGGCGCCACCGCCAAAACAGGATGAACAACCACAACCACACCCGGTCAGAGATCAGCTGCCTAATGTATCTTACTGCATTACCAGTCCTCCTCCATGGCGTAAGTCTCCAACGTCTGTCATTTTGCAGAAATTTCATTTGTTATGCCCTTTCTTTTTTAATCCTTCTTGAGAGTTCATTAATGATAGATGTTGTTCTTGTGAAAATTTTCGTCTCAAACAAAGTACATTCTATTTTTGCATCGAATAAGTTTTTCTTGGCAGGAAGTTCTTTTTTGGTATCCTTGTAGAAAAACTTAATGTTTTTCTATTTGCGGCTTATTTCTTATTTCTTCTAATGGGTTCCCCAAGAGGACATCATTTGGTAATGCAAAATTTTTCATCCCAGCTAGTTTCCCTTTTCACCGGGTTAATCTCTGGCTTAGTGCCAATTTACTGATTTGGGTGACTGAATTTGCTGGATCTTGGGTATTTACTCTATTCTTAAGCAAGTCAAAGGCTGTTTACTGTACTCTTAAGCAGAAGAACCCAATCAGTTTTGCCAAACAGGGCCTTAGAATTTATAAGGAACTAACGTTTCAATGTGGCTGCAGCTGAGGCAATATTACTTGGATTTCAGCACTATATTGTTATGCTTGGGACAACTGTACTCATCCCAACCACTCTGGTTCCTCAAATGGGCGGAGGAAAGGTATGCATTAGATTTAAAGGCAAACTTTATTCATGTTGCATGTGAAAGGATGGAAGTTGATTATCATTCTACACAGGAAGAGAAAGCAAAGATGATCCAGACCCTACTTTTTGTTTCTGGGTTGAACACACTCATTCAGTCACTATTCGGTACTCGGTTGCCTGCAGTTATTAGTGGCTCATATACTTTTGTGCCTGCAACACTTTCAATTGTCTTTGCTGGTCGATACAGTGCAATCATGGATCCTCAAGAGGTCAGAGGACAAGAATCACTGTTGAAAGTTTTTCTTGTGACCATATGGAATAATCTGATATTTTTCCTATGTTGCTTGAGCAGAAGTTTGAGAGGATAATGCGTGCAATCCAAGGATCACTGATTGTGGCATCGACTCTTCAAATAATCCTTGGTTTCAGTGGCCTTTGGCGAAATGTTGCAAGGTATGCTACTTGTTTAGACCAAAATTGTATACTAGATGCCATTGAGTCGGATAATATTAAAAAATGAAAAGGGGATTTTATACTAGATGCCAAAATTTCCTTAGTATTTATATAATGCAAGCAAATAAGTAAAAATGGATTCAAATAGCTTACTTTTTGGGGTTTCCAATTTCAGGCTAATTAGTCCACTTTCTGCTGTCCCTCTGGTAGCTCTATCAGGGTTTGGGCTATATGAACATGGTTTTCCTCTGGTATGGTTTTGGTATTAGTTTCACACGGGAGTTCATAAAGTGCAAATAAAAAGTGCAACATTGATTGCATTCATAAACTTAAAACATTTATTGATAGTCAGTTTCTCACTTTCATAATCTTTATTATGTGTACAGGTTGCAAAATGTGTGGAAATTGGGCTGCCGCAACTAATCTTTCTCATAATCTTTTCACAGGTATCTTCTTTTTGATACACATTAAGGATCTGTTTGGATGGGGGGAGGGCTTCATGGTCATAAAGATCTTAAAGGATTCTCCTTATCAAGAATTCAAGATATAGACTAAGCCATTCAAAGCCCTTCCCTCCAAAGAGGCCCTAAGCATTTTGTATCAGGCATTCAGGCCCAAAAATCTATTAAGCTTGTATGATTATCACTCTGCATGGCGTATGTATCTTTATTACTTTAATGCAGTACATACCCCACCTAATGAAAGGGGATAGACATGTCTTTGACCGGTTTGCTGTTCTATTCTCCGTGGCCATCGTGTGGATTTATGCTCATCTTCTCACAGTCGGAGGAGCATATAAGCATGCCCCACCGAAGACTCAACTCAGCTGCAGAACAGATCGTGCTGGAATAATCAGTGGTTCTGCATGGTAAGACATCATCAAAAGATTGGCTCAACACAAGGATTTTACTGTTACCATTGTTTAATAAGCACAATTTTATGCAATGTCATTTTTGGAAATTTCTGCAGGATAAGAGTTCCTTATCCATTTCAATGGGGATCTCCTATTTTTGATGCAGGAGAAGCATTTGCAATGATGGCAACTTCATTTGTTACGCTGGTTGAGGTGATGAGCTTAGAATTTATAAGCTTCAATTCCATTTTTCGTTCTGCTTCATATTTTTAACTGGAAGAAACTGAAACCTTTTTTTTTTACATTTGTTTACTCTGTTGACAGTCCACTGGGGCTTTCATTGCTGTCTCCAGATATGCTAGTGCTACCCCGCTTCCACCTTCTGTTCTCAGTCGAGGTGTTGGCTGGCAGGTGAATAAAAATAATCCTGCTGATTTATTTGTTGCAATATAAAACCCTATGGAGCAATGCCTCAGCTAAACCTTGGGTGTGCTAAGGTCATGCCCCGATTTCTTACACAATAATGTATAATGAAAAGTTAAGAGTTTATGGCCTTATGCGCAACTAATGTTTGCTTGAAGCTAGGGTAGAAAATTCTTGAGTATGGGAATCAACCATCTTGAACGCTCAACTAACTCTGCCTTAATTACATCTAAATCAGTTAATAATTTAAATTTACACGTTTTGAAACTACACTGAATGTTCTATTGAATTGCAAAAACCAAATTTGAAACTGATAAAAATATTAATACACAAATCAGAGATAAAAAATACTACGTTGACCCCATGAATAGTAAAACGACAAGCCTATTAGGGTTGAATAGTACCGACTTTTGCATAAAATCCAAAACTAGTATTACTTCTTCATATCTTGATGATAATTATCATATTCCCTATGGTTTGCTATGCTTTTGAACACTTGATCACTGTTGCAAATTTGTGATAGGGAGTAGGCATACTGTTATCAGGATTATTTGGAACAGGGATTGGGTCATCAGTCTCTATGTAAGATTCTTCTTGATTCCTTTAGAACTGTTATTTATTCTATTTAGTTGAACCGAAGCTCTGCCCTAATAAAAGTGGGAAGTCTCCATTTCTTTGTATAGCGAAAATGCTGGTTTGCTTGCATTGACTCGTGTTGGAAGCAGAAGGGTTGTGCAAATATCTGCGGGTTTCATGATATTCTTCTCGATACTTGGTGAGTGTTAAATTATAGTAACCATTCACTATATTCTTGGAAGAAGAGGTGGTCCCCCATGAGACTAGGAAAAAATACAATACTTCAAAAGTTAAATGTAATACTTTTCAAAAACAAAAATCTGTTTTCTGAAAAGTATTGCGTTCAACTTTTAGTGTGTGTTTGGATCAAGAAAAATGCTTGGTAAAGAAAAAATATGCCAAGCAAAGTTACTTTCGTATGTTCGGTCTTACCTAATCATACAAATGATCTTAAGATATTTAGTGTTTGTATATTAGACTCAAATAAATGAAATGAGTATCAATAAATATCCAATACAAATTTGTTTAAGCTTTTTAGTCTACTTTATTATTTTGTTTCCATGCAATTTACTGCTATGTATACTTTTATGTTCTCTCCCCCTAGTCTATTCTGGGATCCCAAACGGACCCTTAAAGTATATCATTTTCATCTCATTCTACCGTGAGAACATCTCACTTCCTTTGCCATTGCAACTATAGTTTTTTCTCTCCTTAAGAAAATGCCAAGTCAATTGCTTTTCACTAATTTCATTCCAGGGAAATTTGGAGCTGTCTTTGCATCTATTCCAGCACCCATCATTGCAGCTTTGTATTGCCTGTTCTTCGCCTATGTGGGTATGTAAAGCAAAGACACCACGCATTTACAGTCTTAAAAAAATGTACTTGTATGGTTAACAGATCATTAAACACACATGTGCAGGTTCAGCAGGCCTCGGCTTCCTCCAGTTCTGCAATCTAAACAGCTTCAAGACTAAATTCATTATTGGATTCTCTGTTTTCATGGGCTTATCCATACCACAGTACTTCAACGAACATGCTGCAGTAAATGGATATGGTCCTGTACACACAAGAGCACGATGGGTAAGCAAGCCACAGTCAAAATTATCTAGTTAAAAGGAAACTGAACTTATACAATGTGCATTATGTGATGATGTGTTTCTTTTTGCAGTTCAATGATATGCTAAATGTGCCTTTCTCATCGGAACCATTTGTTGCTGGACTATTGGCATTGTTCCTTGACACCACACTGCATAAGAAAGACAGCACCTCTAAAAAGGACAGAGGCATGGTGTGGTGGTATAAGTTCAGGTCATTCAAAGGCGACACCAGAAACGAAGAGTTCTACTCCTTGCCCTTCAATCTCAACAAGTTCTTCCCATCAGTATAACAACTTGTTAATTTTCTGGAGAGTAACAGCAGTATCTTTGGTATATTTTGGGAGTCAACTTTATACATTTGCGCAACAATCATATTTTTGTTAATCAGGTTTAACTCATACCTCGCTAATCTCATTTATATTGTCCATTTTGTTTGCTTATGTTCTTTTTCTTCTCTTTCTATCATCCCCCTTATAATGTTATTACCATTGAAGAATAACTCGATATGGCTACATCCAGTATGATGCGATCAAATATAATGAACTACTCAAGGGAACGTATTATTCATTCCACCAACTATGCAGTTGTGTCATGAATTTAACACAATTTTGCTTGTTAGGGAAATTTCTTAAAACAGGGGTCTTGCGTTTCTTTTCTTTGATTAAGAGTACTATGTTTTCCTCTAAGTAGGAGTACCATGTTTCTTTCCTTAAATAGGAAAAAATATTATTGTTCTATAATATTATTACTGTTGGCATTATTATAACAATGTTAATAGTGTCAGACATTAGTATAACAATATTAGTGCCATATTATTGCATTATGGTTCCACTATTACAAATTTACAATGCTTCTATTTTGTGTTCTCTTTGGGAAAGAGAAAGATAAAGAAGGTATAGATGGACGAGAGTGAAACAATTCAATCATTTCTCGGTGTAATCCATATATTATATGTTTTTTTAATGTAAAGCCGTATATATTTGAATCCCCAATCCACACGAGTACACGTGTAAATGCCAAACGAAATTGCCAGTTAAAGTAGTCCAATACATATGTGAATATGTGATGCTCAGCTTTTATTTCATTACCAACGAGCATAACTAGGGATGAATTGGGAGGGGTCGGCCTGACCTGGACCCCGGTATTGTTTAGGCCTGGCCTGGTACAGTATAGGCTCGGCCCGGCTTGAGACACGAATCGGTGGCTATAAGAGGGGCTTTGGGCTTGATTTTTGGGTCTGGCCTGGTTTGGACCTCACTGCATTGTTTTTTTAATTTAATGTGTGGTACCGCTTTGAAACTCAACCGAGTCGTTATTGTTTTGGTCCGGCCTGACCCATTACCATTTGGGCTTGGCCCATTACTGTTTGGGCCCGACTTGACCCAGTGTCGGTACAAACTTGGGGTGGTAACGGGCCTGAAATCCTTAATCTCGAAGCCCGTCCAGTCTCGTCTCATAGCCCAACCCAGTCCTGTCCCAGTCTATCCTTAAGCATAACTATGGTTCATTATCTATTTCCTCCGTGTTCTTCAATATTTAATTTATGTATGTATGAAGTCCAAACTTTGAGGAAACGGTCTAACTCAGATGATCGCTGACTCTCTCTCTTGTGAGAGGTCCCGAGATCAATATTCCATGGAGGAGTTTGAGCTCAATTTGCCCTAGGCCCCTCCCCTGACACCCATGGGGTAAAAAATAAAAATTAATAAGAATGAAAAAGTATGGAGTAGACTTTATTTTTCGCAAAACCAATTCTTGGGTAATTGTTTTTAGAAAATAAAATGAAAGATGAGGTCGATTTTGCAAACAAAACTCATCAAGAGCACTGTACCCCAAACAAGATGGGGAATTCGACTTCACATTCCATTTTTGGACAATATTCGACTTTACACTGTAGTTTCATAATCATTAATGGGTACCACATTTCGCTATAAATTCATTTAGCTTTACATCACATTCCTTCACATTTTTTGAACCGATGGATCGACACACATTAATGGTTATGAAAATATGGTGCAAAGTTGTATTTTGTCTAAAGGTCAAATTTACCCATGAAAATGTGGATAACGATTAAGGAAATTGCTCTAAATATGAGTAAAAACACTTTGTAATACTAAAACAGAACTCTTATATTATTTTTTTCAAAATAAGAGTTGTTACTCACTTGATTGAAAATGGTGTCATTAATGACAGTAAATAGTGTCATGTCAATGCGTAGTACAACAACTATTTTGATAGTAATAACTCCAAGATGACGGTAAATACTGTTATGTTACTCTTATTTAAGGAATAAAAACATATGAGTCATATTTTAAAATTCCCAAACCTATTTACTCCTATTTTGGGAACTTTCCCTAACAATTATTAAGAAATTTTCATGTTAAGGAAAACCTATATACTCTCCACCTTGCATTGCAAAAATATCAGTTGTTATACCGTGGGAGCAGCCCATGGTGAGCATCATACTCGCATACTTAAAATAGCATTATTTAGGTTTAAGTTTTATTTAAAAATTGTGAGTGATGTAAATCATGTGTATTGAAATGCAACTCATGTTAATGTGAAATGTAATCTTAGCGGCAAATGTAGTTTATGCACTAGAATGTAACTTTCTTTACTCCCTCCGATGGTATTATTATAAACCGTTTGCAAATGCACCTAATGGTTGTCTTGTTTCTGAAAATACGCTTAAGTACTCAACCGCACAATGAAACTCCGAAGGTACATTTTGAAGGAACCGACACATCCTGTGTACAGTGTACACTTCTATGGGTTTTGAACAGGGCCGGCCCTGGTGGTGTGCAGGGTGTCCAATCGCACATGGCCCCAAAAAAAGGAAGGGCCCAATTTTTTTTTGTAGTAGTATACTCTACTACCTCCGTCCCACTATGATTGTCCCATTTTACCTTATCGGTTCGTCTCATTAATATTGTCTCATACCAAACTTGGTAAAGTTTGTGTGGCTCTAAATCATTCTTACTTTTTTCTTACTTTACCAATTCAATATCAACCACATAAACAACTTTTTATTAATTTGTGTGTCACTCCCTTTTGTCCCAATGTTAGCGGGACGGAGGGAGTATTATTACTTAGGTGGACTAGGGCAAGGCTTTGAAGCAAGCCTGGTTCATCACTTCGCGTATTCCTCATATGCAAAGGAGGAGCGTGTATATAGGAACGAAGGAGTGATAAATTCTCCGTTTCCACCGGTGTGGGAATCTTAAGCTTTAGAAACAAAAAAGAAAAGAAGCGAGGCATGCGGGATTTAAACCCAGGTGAAAATAAAAGCATGCACGCTGATTTCTAAACATCAACCGCCGGACCAAATCAACTAATTCTTGAAATACGGACGTACAAGTTTTATATTACCTATTTGTTCTACAAAATAAATAATTAAAATACCTCTTAATAAAAATCGGTTCGGTTCGGTTTGAACCGATTTTATAACTCAAAAAACCTTCATTAAACCGATTTATGTTCGAGTCCCGACTTTCGGGTCCCGTTTGAGTCGGTGCGGTTTCGGTTCGGTTTTTTTAACTTCTGTTGAAACTTTGAAAAGAAGGCCCAATTATTTTTTTTGCACAGGGTCTTCATTTCCTCAGGACCGGCCCTGGTTTTGAAAGTTGCCCATACATTTTTAAGCCCATAAGTATCATTGAGTTCAGTGGGATGACATCAGCGGTGACGGCCGGTTTTTGATCAATTGACAAGATGACATGTTTCATTTATTCCTTCCTAGCTTTTGATTGCCTCTCGAATTCCGCCATTAACGTTGAGTTGTGAAATTCCATGTATGATATATATAATTTTTCTTTCACGCACGTTGTTGGGTGTGCCTCGGAAAAACGAAGAAATATTAATTAATAAAAATAATTAATTAATTAATAAAATAGCTAAAGAAAAACAGAAATATGATGGAGCAGATTTTAGCCAGAGCTTGTGCTACGCACGATATCCTTAAAACGTATTCGTCGCCTCCCACAGTGCTAGGAGCGTTGCAACGACCGTTTCCCAGGATACGGTGGCTAACAAACTAACGTTTGAGCACACAAACGAGAGTTCCGGCGAACTGGAACACAATATGAACACTTAGAAATTTTTCAGAATAGCTGGAAGTGTTTTAATGCTCAAAAATACGTGAGGAATGTATTGTAAGTTGTTTTGTTGCAAACCACCTGCCAACTATTTATAGGAGGATTTGTTGTGTGTTAAATGAGGTGTTAATGGACCTGAACGTTGGACATCAATGACCAGTCTGTTGGGTATTGAATCGTCCATAAACTGTCCATTTAACGCTGCATTTAAAGACAAAAACGTTGGGCATTTATTGCTGTAACGGACCAGAAGACCTTCTGGTGCGAACAGATTACCTCCACCAGAACACCTCGAGAGGCCTTCTGTCCGGAAGCCAGCAGAAACCCTCAGGTCTGAGACCGTATCTTTGAATGATAGATTTTTCGGACGGCATTCGTGTCCGCAGGTCGCCCGCGCACACGAGTCGCGGTTTTTCTTCTCCGTTTCGGGATTTGATCGGCATCCCCTGCGCGCAAGAGAGAGCCTTTACCTTTAGGAATCTTAACTCCTTAAAAGAGGCTTCCCTTTATAAGGGGGTGAAAATCCCTTGAGTTTTCCGGTGTGGGATAAAACACACTAGAAACCCATCATTTTCCCAGTTTTTCCATTTCAACGAGTGAACTTCGAGAATCAATTTCTCATTCACCCGTTACTCATTTTGAGTGTACCACATATCGAATTGCAGCCCTTAACAAGGACAATTCGAAACCACTTTGACCCGATCCAAATCGGAAGTGGACCCCACTCAAATAATTGCCCCAAAATCACCATTTAATGCAATTTTTAACACATTTTTCCAACACACGTTTCTCACAGACGACATCAAACGTTTAAGCAATTTTTCGTAAGCTAAAACTAATTAAAAGAAATATATGTATTGAATCGGTTTCGTATAAGAACAATTCAACAAGAAAGTCAAGAAGTATGCAAATGGACTAGAAATTAAGAGAAGTATTGAGTTTATTATTCGAGTAAGGATGAATAATGTTTACAATGAGATTCACTCCTATTTATAGAAGAAGTAATTATCGCTGCCCCTAGGCGTTTCGCCCGTTGTTGACTGTTCGATCCAACGGGTTCATTCGTTGTGACGATTCCAGACCCGCCATAAAGGTTGGTCAACTCTAATTAATTAACACACTCCTTAATTACATTAATGGTCATATATATTAATATATAAAAAACATTTTAACAGCCGTCATTTAGGAAAAAATATACGGAGTATTGAGTATCATTTAGATGCACATCAGCACCTGAACATTCATATGTAGATGCTACCACACTAAACTCACTTCCAGAAGACCACAACGTAACTCTATATGCACCGTCTAAGCTAACTGCAATATCAATTAAATTTTGGAACATGTAATAATAATGTAAGATACACTCGAGTTTGACACGAATTTTAAGGAAATAAAGGAAACGATTTTATAATTCTAATTAACATACAAAAAGGTTACATGAAAAATAAAGAGATAAATCGAGAAAATAAAAAGCTTATATTGGGGAAGTGGTCTTACTTTTGAATAAAGAAAAATGTATTTTACAAAACGTGTATAATAACCAAGCTTAATGTATACTTGGTATCATTCACTGAATCTTAAAAATTGTGTGGGTTATATCACGCATTTTTTTCCTAAATGAATCGTAATTATACAATTTTCTCCATAATAACCATGACATGGAAGGCTAATTCAGAGAATATGGACTAATTAGTTAATTGTCCCTATTGTTTCCCAGTAATAATTTTGACAGATCTATACTTGTTTCAATGGAATCAATTCGTATTAAAAAACTCCTACTGAGCATTGTTGCAATCCAGACGGGAATCAAAACCTTTGGCCAATACAGCCACTTCAGCCATAACTTCATAAATTTCAGCAGAATCAGCCAATTCAGCCAATTTTAATGTTACCAAACGAGCTCGTAGACATCTGCTCATAACCTCGTTGATGTTTAGTGAGAATTAGAGTAATAAAAATTGTTCGGTTGAAATTTGTGCAGAGAAGAAAGAAATGAATAAAGCCACAAATCCATTATTTTAAAAAGTATCAAAGTTTTTTGAGAAAAATAAAAAATGAAAGTTAACAAATTTAATGTATTAGTGGTATTGACAAATTTAAGTAATAATACAAAGTTAAATATAGAGGTAATTCTCTAAATAGGACTAAATCCATGTT